GGTGACCATGTGGGGAAGGGGGTCAAGTCCTTTGTGACGAAGAGCTGGCCAGGATCCTGCACTCGAGATTCTAAAAACACACCCTAAATGGGGTTCCTCTCACGGGAGCAGCCCAGCCTATGTCATGATCCGGGGTGGGCAGGCCGACCCAGGCGGACTTTAGCACTGGCGGTCCTGGGCTACGAAACTGAGGCTTGTCACGGTCCAGGCCTCTTGACTCCAGATTTGAGTCTTCACTGAGTGATCTGTTTCATTCTAGGCCAGTTTTAAGGAGTCATACATGGCTGCATTTTATGAATTCTTCAATGAGCAGAAATACACTGAGGCGGTAAAAAACGTAAGTGTGGACGTCACTTAGCTCCAACTCACCACCCCTGACAAGGTCTGCAGCTACTGAAAAGAAACTGAGTTAAAATTCACATAACATAAAACTGGCTGCTAACCATTTTGAACCCATCAGAGCATGTGGCCCTTTGCAGTGTTGTGCGACCACCCTCCCCGAGTCCCAGGCCTCCCCAGCCAAGCACTGCCCCTGGACCTGGCATTGGGCCGCCTGCATTTCTCCTCCCTCAGTGACTGTGCCCCGACCTCATGGGGCTCTGCCCACGGCTCCTCTAATCCCCATGCCCTGCCGCATCCTGCCCTTCCGCTCCTGATGCCCCAAAATGCATCAGGGTCACAGTCCCTGGGACACGAGACCCGGAGTCAGAGACACAGTGTCCGGGAGTAACTCTTTCGGTCCTAAAGCTTTGCTTCGCTGCCTCTGTTCAGAGGCAGTCACACCGATCCATCGCCCAGAAATCACATACACCGTGATGCAGAGTGGGGCGAGGGGGACAGGAACAGGGCAGCCGATGTTGATGAGAGGGCTCCAGATAGGCCATGGGCAGTCGCAGGGAGCAGGGGGCAGCTGGGAGAGCCTGCGCTGCCTCAGGCTCCACTGGAGGCCATCAGAACGACAGCCCTCTGGTGTCACCTGAAGCCTTTGGCCGAAGCGGCAACTGGTGCATGGGGACCTTCCTGAGGGCCAGCAGGTGGTCAGGTCGGGGCTGGAGGTACCTCAGCCGCAGCGGAGACGAGCTGACCCCATGACTCGTGGGAAGACCCTGTCCGGGCACCTGCTTCCCAGACTCCCTCTCTCTGGTGCTGAGGGAGGGCCCCTCTGCGGGCACCCGGGGCCTGGCCGTGGTGGAGGAGCCATGTCGTCCAGCCCACCGACCCCCCAACAGTCTCTCCTGCTCCAGTTCTTAGATTTGATCTCGTCCTCTGGGAGAAGAGACCCCAAGAGCATAGAGCAGCCCATCCTGCTGAAGGAAGGGTAAGGCGTGCACCTGCCAGTGCGAGGACCACGGTGGTGCTCCTGGGCTGGCCTCCTTCCAAGGTCCAGCCGGCCCAGGTGCTTTTGGGGTCTTGAACTCCCAGCACTGCCCCGGGCATGCCTGCAAGGGGTGCTGTGCCCATCCATTTCTCTGCTGAATTTGCAAGTGGAGAGATGCCTCCGTGTGGGGAGAGGCCCGGAGAAGTCTGGTGCCTCAGCGGAGCCGGCTCACCCCTCACGAGCTCCAGGCCCCGCCTCCCCAGCCCCTCACGTCCATGCTGCCAGCAAGGGCCCAAGCAGGGCCTGTCAGGAGCCAGTTCAGTGGCCTCTGCTTGCCGCACACCCCTCCATGGCCCCAGTGGCCCAGCACACTGGACGGTCTCCTGCCAATTTCAGTCCGGGTGGGGGAGGCTGCCTTGCGGGAATCTGGAAGCCCGCTGTCACCAACAACTTGGCGTCCAAGGTGACACCAGCACAGGGGCTGAATTCTCAAAAGTGGAGGCATTAGCATTTTGGTTTCTTGATCCTGTGACTCCGAAGGAAGACTGTAAGGCACTGAAAACGACCACGAATATGGAAGTGGCGAGCTTCTTTGACCCTGCTGTGGGGCGGGGGTCCGTGGAGATGTGCCCCTGAGCCTCGGATGCTCAGCCTGCTAGCGTGTCCCATTTACAATAGGTTCATGATTAAGAGGGCGCAAGGGCGGAAGCGCTTCGGAATGAAGAATTTTAAGAAAAGATGGTTTCGCCTGACAAACCATGAATTCACCTACCAGAAAAGCAAAGGTAATGAGATTCCTCTGTTTCCTTGTTTCCACCTTTTTTCTATGGGGCCAGAGACTGTTTATGCCCCACTGGGGTCACTGTCTGCTTTCCTGGACTGAGACTAAGAGCAAAGGTGTCTCCCAAGGAGGGAGCAGAGGGTCTTCAGGCAGAGGAGCTCGGGGGGTGGCCTGGGCGGGGCGGCGGGGAGCAGGTGGGCCTGTGCCCTGGTGCCAGGCGTAGGAGTCGGATCACGGGCGGTGGTGGTCTTGTCCTGTTTGGCTGCATCCTCCTGGACCTGAAATGGCCCAGGTGTAGACAGGACTATCGAGAAGGTAATTCTCTCCATAAAAATGTGGGAACGTGGCTCCAGAGACCGCATGCCAGGAGGCTCTCACACCAGGATGGACACCAGCATGGGTCCCGCGGGGTGCAAGGGCGTGAGGCTGGATGCTCTGTGGCCAAGCCCCTCGCAGGCCCGGCCTGCCGGGATCCTGGCCGCTCGCCTCCTCCTGGCCTGCCCCTCACCACGCCTCTCCACACAGGGGACCAGCCACTCTGCAGCATTCCCATCGAGAACATTCTGGCCGTGGAGAAACTGGAGGAGGAGTCCTTCAAGATGAAGAATGTGAGTGCACTTCCCCCACGAGCCCCTCAGGAAGTCTTCTGTCAGGGCCCCACTTCCCCAGGGTGCCCACAAGGCACCACGTGATTCTGCATCCAAACCACAGAGCAAAACAGTCCGGTCAACCAGGGCCAGCAGAACGTGCCAGAAGGTGGCTTCTCTGGCAGCCCCAGGGTCCACGGGCCCTCTGCTAAAGGGCACCGGACACAGGCTCTGGGGCCTGTGGGATTTCTTTGAAACCTTCTCTTCTGATCTAGTTTTGAACTAGAAAAGATACAGGAGTAGAACAAGGGCATCATGCTGGCCACCCAGGGCCATGGGCATTGGCGTTCTGTCCCACTTGCTCAGTGAATGTCTTCGCTCTTCTCCCCGTGTTTCCGTGTATAAAGTACATGCTGAGCATCCACACCCCAAGGTCGCCATGAGCGCCCTGGGCACCCGCTGCGGGCTCACCCCATGTCCTGGGATCACCCCCCACGACCATCTTGTGGAGCAGCTACGACGGAGCCTGACCCGGATGAGAGCCGAGCCTGCGGGAGGGGAGGAGCTTGGGGCGTCTCCACCCCTGCAGCCCGGACACGTCCTGTTCTGTCTCCGGGGTGCTGCCTGCCCCACACGGGAATTAGGCCTTCTAGCTGCTCCGATTTGCCTGCAGGCCTGTTTCAGACCCCAGGAGCCATCCCCAGGGACCCCTCACCCTGGGAGGATGGCCCTTGTCCACAGCCTGTGGCCCTTGCACACCCGGCAGCTGTGCCCCCTATGTGGAGTTCACGGCTTAGGGCCGACCCCGAGTGGGGCTCTGCCCCCTGGAGCTGGCAGGGCTGTCTTCCTCCCTACCCTGAGTCTCTGCCCCTTCTTCAGGGACACAGCTTGGTGGCCGGGACTCTGCAGGTACCTATAGCTGCACCAGGTGTGGGGGCACCGGGGTCTGTCTGGCCTGGGCCACGCCGATCTTGGCCCAGGGTCGCTGAGGAGTCACGAGAAGCTCACATCTCCATTAGGTCGGAGGTCGGCTGTGGCCAGGGCATGGCATCCACTGGGCAGACAGAGGCGAGGTGGCCGGACAGCCCGGCTAGTGGACGGCGTCTTCCCCTGGCGTGGCTCTGTCTCCTTCATGTGGCTTCTCGTCTCCTCCAGGAGTATTGGAGGCTGTTCCTGGGCCAGCTAAGGGCCCCAAGGCCAGTGGGAGTGCTTTTCCTGGACCTGAGGGATCAACATCAGTGGCCTCTGCTTGCCGCACACCCCTCCATGGCCCCAGTGGCCCAGCACACTGGACGGTCTCCTGCCAATTTCAGTCCGGGTGGGGGAGGCTGCCTTGCGGGAATCTGGAAGCCCGCTGTCACCAACAACTTGGCGTCCAAGGTGACACCAGCACAGGGGCTGAATTCTCAAAAGTGGAGGCATTAGCATTTTGGTTTCTTGATCCTGTGACTCCGAAGGAAGACTGTAAGGCACTGAAAACGACCACGAATATGGAAGTGGCGAGCTTCTTTGACCCTGCTGTGGGGCGGGGGTCCGTGGAGATGTGCCCCTGAGCCTCGGATGCTCAGCCTGCTAGCGTGTCCCATTTACAATAGGTTCATGATTAAGAGGGCGCAAGGGCGGAAGCGCTTCGGAATGAAGAATTTTAAGAAAAGATGGTTTCGCCTGACAAACCATGAATTCACCTACCAGAAAAGCAAAGGTAATGAGATTCCTCTGTTTCCTTGTTTCCACCTTTTTTCTATGGGGCCAGAGACTGTTTATGCCCCACTGGGGTCACTGTCTGCTTTCCTGGACTGAGACTAAGAGCAAAGGTGTCTCCCAAGGAGGGAGCAGAGGGTCTTCAGGCAGAGGAGCTCGGGGGGTGGCCTGGGCGGGGCGGCGGGGAGCAGGTGGGCCTGTGCCCTGGTGCCAGGCGTAGGAGTCGGATCACGGGCGGTGGTGGTCTTGTCCTGTTTGGCTGCATCCTCCTGGACCTGAAATGGCCCAGGTGTAGACAGGACTATCGAGAAGGTAATTCTCTCCATAAAAATGTGGGAACGTGGCTCCAGAGACCGCATGCCAGGAGGCTCTCACACCAGGATGGACACCAGCATGGGTCCCGCGGGGTGCAAGGGCGTGAGGCTGGATGCTCTGTGGCCAAGCCCCTCGCAGGCCCGGCCTGCCGGGATCCTGGCCGCTCGCCTCCTCCTGGCCTGCCCCTCACCACGCCTCTCCACACAGGGGACCAGCCACTCTGCAGCATTCCCATCGAGAACATTCTGGCCGTGGAGAAACTGGAGGAGGAGTCCTTCAAGATGAAGAATGTGAGTGCACTTCCCCCACGAGCCCCTCAGGAAGTCTTCTGTCAGGGCCCCACTTCCCCAGGGTGCCCACAAGGCACCACGTGATTCTGCATCCAAACCACAGAGCAAAACAGTCCGGTCAACCAGGGCCAGCAGAACGTGCCAGAAGGTGGCTTCTCTGGCAGCCCCAGGGTCCACGGGCCCTCTGCTAAAGGGCACCGGACACAGGCTCTGGGGCCTGTGGGATTTCTTTGAAACCTTCTCTTCTGATCTAGTTTTGAACTAGAAAAGATACAGGAGTAGAACAAGGGCATCATGCTGGCCACCCAGGGCCATGGGCATTGGCGTTCTGTCCCACTTGCTCAGTGAATGTCTTCGCTCTTCTCCCCGTGTTTCCGTGTATAAAGTACATGCTGAGCATCCACACCCCAAGGTCGCCATGAGCGCCCTGGGCACCCGCTGCGGGCTCACCCCATGTCCTGGGATCACCCCCCACGACCATCTTGTGGAGCAGCTACGACGGAGCCTGACCCGGATGAGAGCCGAGCCTGCGGGAGGGGAGGAGCTTGGGGCGTCTCCACCCCTGCAGCCCGGACACGTCCTGTTCTGTCTCCGGGGTGCTGCCTGCCCCACACGGGAATTAGGCCTTCTAGCTGCTCCGATTTGCCTGCAGGCCTGTTTCAGACCCCAGGAGCCATCCCCAGGGACCCCTCACCCTGGGAGGATGGCCCTTGTCCACAGCCTGTGGCCCTTGCACACCCGGCAGCTGTGCCCCCTATGTGGAGTTCACGGCTTAGGGCCGACCCCGAGTGGGGCTCTGCCCCCTGGAGCTGGCAGGGCTGTCTTCCTCCCTACCCTGAGTCTCTGCCCCTTCTTCAGGGACACAGCTTGGTGGCCGGGACTCTGCAGGTACCTATAGCTGCACCAGGTGTGGGGGCACCGGGGTCTGTCTGGCCTGGGCCACGCCGATCTTGGCCCAGGGTCGCTGAGGAGTCACGAGAAGCTCACATCTCCATTAGGTCGGAGGTCGGCTGTGGCCAGGGCATGGCATCCACTGGGCAGACAGAGGCGAGGTGGCCGGACAGCCCGGCTAGTGGACGGCGTCTTCCCCTGGCGTGGCTCTGTCTCCTTCATGTGGCTTCTCGTCTCCTCCAGGAGTATTGGAGGCTGTTCCTGGGCCAGCTAAGGGCCCCAAGGCCAGTGGGAGTGCTTTTCCTGGACCTGAGGGATCAACACCTTCACACCTGCTCCTGGCCTGGAGGCCACCTCCTCTGTGGGCAGCGCCCTGCAGTACCAGGTGTCTGTGCCTCTCATGGGCCATTCCCAGGCCTGTGACACGATGCCAACAGGGGTCTCTGTGCCACAGCCTGAGGCATTCCAGATGCCCCTGGAAGCACGCGGTGTGGAGGCTGTCCTGGAAGCAGCTGTGAGCTGTTCCATTCCACAGGCCCTTAATTTAGGTTGAGAATAATTCCCTAATTTTGGCGTTTACTCATTTGCCTATTTTTCCCACTGCCTTCCTCAGAGCCAGCTTCTCATGGCACTACTTACCAGGCTAACATCCTGTTCCCTTTGGGAGATGTTTTCAAAGGCCTGTAGTGCATGCGGAGGTGTGTGAGGGGGTGCAACCTGTGAAGACAACCAGGACAAAATTCCATCTAGAGGTTCACCCTCCACCGGGCACTGCAGCCATACAGACTCATGCCGTCTGAAGCCTGTGCCTTAGTGCTTGTGTAGACTAGTGGGGCAGGGGCCTTGGTCTCCGTAAACAAGCCCTGACTGTTCACTCAGGAGCTCACACCTCCATCTCCCTGAATCCACCGACTGCTGTTCCTCCTCTGGGTGCACACCCCCACCCCTCAGAAAAGGCCCCATTACTTTTGATGTCCTCTCACTTTGATGTGCTGTGGCCTGACTGCCTCCTCGCTCACCATCCTTCATTTGTATGCAGCACAGCCAGTTGCTGCCAGGAGCACCTGACCCTTCTTGGCCTCAGGACCTTTGTTCCTGATAGTCTGCTGCCCCAGGACCTTTGAGCCTACTTTCCCTGCAGCCTCTGGACCTTTGTAGCTTCTTACCCTTCTAGCTAGGATATTTCCCCACTGAGCCTAGTTAACTCTTAGCAGTCCTTCTGAGCTCAGCTGCTTTAGCTAGATGGTCTTTTCCTGACACCGCCAGACAGCCCCTGCACTTGTGTTCACTTTTATCTTTCTTGCTGGCTGGAAGCACACAAGGGCAAAAACTCTGGACCATCCTGTGTCGCCAGACCTAGGACAGTACCTGGTACTCAGGAGTGTTTGCTGAATGAAGGATGAAAAGGAAAGGTGGAGGAGGCTTCTAGAAGCTGCACAGAGGAAGTAGCACCTTCCTGGAAGGAAGAAGAATGCACAGGGTGCCAGTAGTGGGAGGGAGGAACCTTTCAGATAAACAACACATGCAAAGGCCCCGGGGCTGGTCTGGAGTGGTGACAGGAGGGAGGGTGGCATGAGCTCTAATGCTTCTTGTACAAAAGCCCCAGCTTGAAAATAAGGGGACCTGGAGAAGCCAGCCTATTTGTGTAAGGCCACATCCACTGAGGAGGAACCCCACAGGGGTCCAGCCCTGCTGCACCCTTGCTTTGGAGGCCTCTAAGGCCCCAAAAGAGAAGGTGCTTGGCCTGCTGGGCAGAGCTGACCCAGCTGAGTCACACCAGCCTCCTCAGTCCCCAGGGCCCCCGCCACACCTGTCTGCCTCAGCAGGAGGGATGTGGCTTTGCTCCAAGTCTAAGGGCAGCAGAAAGCCACTGGGCTTCTCTGGGCTTCTGGGTTAGAGCCAGACCCCTGACCCCCTACAGCCTTGGGCTTGAGGGCACCAGCAATAGCGACCAACAGCTGCCAACTCCTGTGGGTCAGGCAGGGGTCTTGCTCGAGACCCACCAGCCCATTCCCTGTCTCCACAGATGTTCCAGGTCATCCAGCCCGAGCGGGCGCTGTACGTCCAGGCCGACAACTGCGTGGAGGCCAAGGCCTGGGCCGACACGCTCACGAAAGTGAGCCAGCACAACCAGCAGCGTCTCACCACTTTCCACCCATCTGCCTACCTGAACGGCCGCTGGTTGTGCTGCAGGGCCTCCTCAGACATGGCTGCTGGCTGCACACCCTGCACCGGGTAGGCCTGAGCCTCTCCAGCCTGTGACCCCCAGGGCTGCCCAGTGTAGCAAGCCAGTGGTTTGGCTTGTGCACCGTACAGGGAAGTCACACTAAGATGCAGCCCCTGCCCACTGGGCGAGCTGCACACAAGAGGCTGCTCTCCAGTGTGCCTGAGGGGGCCTGGGGCTCACCTCACAAAGCCTCTGTGTGGCCCGGCAGGAGCCCGGAGCCATGTCTGGGGTGTGTGCGCACAGGGCGGGGCTCATGCACAGAAGGCCCCCGGGGGTGTGCTGTCTTGTCTCTCCTGAGAAGAGTCCATGAGCTCCACCGTGCTGCGCACACACCCCTCCTCAGCAGACTGAGGCAGCCCTTCTCTCCTGCCCTCCTGGCTGGGCTCCTAAGGGTCATGAGCGGCTTTCCTTTCTGGTCCTGGGAGGAGGCCTGGGTAGCCCCGGCGCAGTTGGGCACACTCAGCCGGGCCCTGAGCCCCTGTAGGGGCTGTTTTTATTCTAGGTCATTTGTTACAGCAGAACAAGTCCGCCTTGTGTGTGTGTTGCCTTGGCAGATCTGTGGGTGCTGAGCAGCCCCCAGGGCTCTGAGACCACAGTCATCCTCTGAGTGCTCATGAGCTATTTCACAGGCCACCTGCTATGCCCCAGCCCCGGTGGGAGATGAGCTCGGTGTGGGTCACTCCGTCACCTCCGGTGATAGTAAGCACTCAGCGTCATGACTGACACACGCCTTTGTTCTGCTCTCCCTGTGTCTGGGCAGTGGCCTCCCGGCAAACATCCAGCTGGACATTGACGGGGACCGAGAGACGGAGCGCATCTACTCCCTCTTCAACCTGAACATGAGCAAGCTGGAGAAGATGCAAGGTGAGGGCAGGCCTGGGGTCGCGGGGTCGCCGGCGGCTTTCAGGGCGGCTGCCCAGGGTTCCGAGACTCAGGGGCTTTGCAGCAAAGATGGGGAGATAAGCCCTGATGAGCCTCTGTGATGTGCATGGGGCACTGTCATCGGCACCACTGGTGGGAAAGGCTCTCTGCAAGGGAGGCAGCTATTTGGGGAAATTTAACTTAATAACAGGTTGTGCAGATAAATTTTAAGGAGTTCATTTTATAACCTATCAACTGACAAATTCTTGGGAAAAATCTTCTCTTGATACCCTTCCATACCCCCAAACCGAGAATTTCATTCTTTTGTGTTTTGCATAGGGACGTGTGTATGTGTGGGTGGATGCGTGTGTGTGTGTGTGTGTGTGGACATGTGTGCATGTGGACACAGTGCACATGGATGTGCATGGACGTGTATGAGTGTGTGTGCATGCGCAGCAGCTCCAGGCATCATTTTTACCCGGCTTCTTCATTCTTACCATTAACTGCTTCACATGCTCTGCAGAATCGGGCGGCGCAGGCGTGACATGTGGGTGGCATGGGTGGCCATTCGGGACTGTGACTCAGGGGGGGCAGGGGTGAGAGCTGTTGGGAAGTTGGGAGGCTACCTTGTCCTTGGGGGGCTCTGCTGGCTCTCAGAGTCACCGAAGCCCACTCAGAATGTTAAATTAAACTGAATGTGCCTGGAAATAAGCTTGTTAAACATTTTTCCTTCTCATTCTCCTGATCTAACCCAGAAGGGTCAGTCATGGGCTGTGGCCTGGAAAACACTTTTCTGTGCTTGGGTGGCCATGTGGCTTCCCACCTGTGCCCACTGGCAACTTCCGAGGACTCATTCCAGTGCATGCCCAGGCTCCCCCCCACACATACAGCCACACGCGTGTACACACACATATGTGCACATGCAAGACAACTGTTGACACACGAACACTCACTCATGTGTAGACACGTGCACAGACAGCACACAAGTGCACATGTACAAGCCCACACACACCCAGGTGAGAGGGTGGTCCCTCAGCAAGCGTGCCACACACAGTTCTGGCTCTGAGCTTCCAGGAGGCTGCACAGCAGTGGACCTGAGGCTACATGAGGCCTCCAGGTGGCAAAGACAGAGCAGCCAGAACAGAGGGGGTAGGATCAAGGACTCTTGGAGGGGCTGAGGCCACTGTGTGAGGCCCAGGTTCACAAGGAGGCTGGCTGGGCCTTCCACGATCGGCCACCTCTCTCTTGCGTGGGCTTGCCCAATGTCACGTCTCCACAAAGCCCTGTCCTTTGCTGCTGGTGCCGCCCTTCAGCCTGGCTAATGCCTGCTTGTCTCCCAGGAGTTTTCCTTACCTGCCCTATGTCCTGAAGGCTGTGCCTGTCTCTGCGATTGCAGCATATTCACCCCTAACCGGCTTGTGCTCAGAATGCGCCACCCTTTGCAAGAAGAGGCATTACACCAGTGCCCAGTGAAGGGACGAATTCAGTACCCGTTTGCTGGACAGAGGGATGGATGAGTGGAAGGACTGGTAGATGCACAGGTGGACAGACAACTGGAAAGGGGTCTAACACCTTCAGCCTCCCCTCAACGTAAAGGTCACTGATGACAAAGGTCATCTGACATCAGCGATGAGAGGCCTGTAGCTCCCCCAGCAGAAGCGGCAGAGCACGTCTCCTCCACAGGCCTTGGGCCCTGCCCGCGGTCCCGGTGCTCTCCTGTGGCAGGTCATTGTCAGAGGCTTGGGGCCGCGAGGCACTCCCTTCACATCCTGAGCACGTGGCTGCGGGCTTTTCCCACCTGACATAAGTCCTTCCCTCTGGGGCCTGGCAGCCCTTTGGCGCCCAGAGGCGGCTGCTGCGGTCAGCTGAGGGAGGGGAGATGGTCTGCGCAGTGTCACTGGCCACCCTCCGTGGGGTGCTGTCCTCTAACACTCCTTGAGGTGTGGCGCAGGGTAGGGCAAGCACAGTGCCTGGTGGGAGGGCTGATATCTCCGGGTTGGGGCCTCTGTATGGGAGGTCAGTGCAGACCAGCCCCTCGAGGCAGTGCAGGTCGTGGCTGTGCACGTGTCCAGGCATAGCACTCACTCCCCTCTCTACAAAGCAGGGCCACCCCCTTGGTCAGGCCTTTGGGCAGGTGAGGCAGGGTGGCTGATGGCATCAAGGGCCATGACCCTGTGGAGTGGCTAGCATGGCACCAGAGCAGATGGGCCTGGACCCTGAATCTCGGCTCTGTCACCAGTGTGCGTACCCTCCCAGGGTGCTGGTCCCATGGTGACTCCTGGCTCTCGGCGTCTAGCTGCAGAGACGGGAGATGCTCTCATCGGTGAGGATGCCAGCCTACTCTCTGTCA